GCTGCTGCTGCTGCTGCTGTTGCAAGGTTGGCAGACATTGCGTTTTCATATCATTTCTTGCCCAAGTCTCAGGACGTTCATGGGCTGGTATGGTGACAGCATGGAAAGCTGCGATGGCACAGAGCCTGGCTTTGCTGTGGGAGGAGCACCTGTCCAGGGTTTTAGATGAGTGTGGGATCTGAAGAAAGTGAACGGGGAGCGGCAACCGGTAGTCTTGCCAGGATTCTTTCCATCCAAGAGTTCCAAGTGGAAGGATCTTGTCAAAAATAGCCAGGAGATGCCCGTTGCCGCTACTGGCTTGATTTAATCTTGCGTGTCATCCGTAGTGCGATAGCAAAGCAGAGCATGCCTCGCTGAACAGAAGGCAACAGGAAACGATGCTGCTACGGCGCGAATGAGCTACTTCGATTGGTCGCCACACGTGAGGGGCCCTGTATACATACGGGTGCCGTATTACAATAGGGATCCNNTTTTGACAACCACCCATATGTCAAGCATCGCAATCTCAAACCTTAGCTTTGGTGTGTCCGGAATGGCCCAAGATCAGTTCTCTGCCTCACAAATGCAAACTCTCCATTCTATTTAATAGAGTAGAATGGAGAGTTTGCAAGTATGAAATGGGTTTGCCATGCATGCACTGAAACAGTTTCAGTTCCTTTCTCTCTAGACCTACACCTGCCTCACAAGACGGATCCAATCTTGTTGTGGCAGGATCTGGGCCATTGCTGAACGCATTGCCCGGGTTTTGGAGACAGGCGAGTCCCAATGGCTGAGCTTGCAGGCTTAGACTAGTCGAGAAGCGCTTCAGAAGGATGACGATCCTTGGAGTCGGGCCTCAAATTTGACGCATGCAGCTGTCCTGGCAAAGGCAACTACATGCGATCATTGTCTTGTACTCTCTAAGAATGAGAATCCGCAAGGTGTTCGTCTCAGGGCATGCGAGAGATATTAGCAGATATCATCAGAAGCTCCTGCTTGGTGAGCATCTAGGGTGGACAAACCAACAACAAGGCCAGGGCAGACGCTTCTGGATTTAACTTCAAACCGCAGTTATGTCTTCTTAGACAATGTCAAGATCCACCCACGAATCTGCCCAATATTGGGATAATATTGGGATAATGGAAAAGAAAATGGAAACTGCTACAGTGAATTAGTTAGGGTTTGGTTCAGGGTTTCAGATTATTGGTCCGAGTCTTTCACAGGCACTTTGGTTGGAAGCTTTCTGCCCAGCTTCAGAAGCAGGTTTGGATAGGCGTGGTCTCATATCACTTCTCCACTACATCAGGAGCATAAGTTGGGTTAGGCCCCTACCCACTAATAGTGGTAGACTAGGAATATATGAAGGCCCTAATATAATTACCATTATCCTCTGTGGTCACTATTAGTGGGCGGGGGCCCAACCCAAAGCATAAGGCACAGCCTTATTAGGTATCACGCCAAGCAGTGTACCAAGCACAATGCGCGCCCAGGCGCAAAGCAATTGAACTGGTATTTGGTGCCATACACCCCTGCAGGACAGTTCAGAGATCTACAACTCTTCCTGGTGCTCGCTATTGCGCCGCGTGGACAGGGATCTAGAATTGGGCACACGCAGAGCCACGAATGCTGGCAGTGCCAGGAAGCTGAAACAATAAAACCTTAAACCCTAAACGCTTGCTTTCTGCTTGAAATGGTTGAAGCCTATTGCCTTGCTGCTTCTAGCTTCCCTTGAATGCAGAAGCTGGAGCTGGATCAATTTGATGGTTTCTTCCCCAATCACTGGATTTCTAGATTCTAGAGCAACTTCCCCACGGCGCGCTTAGGTAGTTGTTTTGAATACTCCCAATAAGTGGAGATTTCCGCAAATTATGGGTTCCTTTGTGGGGGTCCCCACACCAAGGATTATAGTATATTGGGGGGTGTAGATGGTGGTTTCAGGGACCGCCTGGGCCCTGTTGAATGGCTCTTGTTTTCAGACTTGCTTCCGGCTTTCAAAAGAAAACACTGGAGGTCTCTGGATGTTGAGGCTGGAGACCGGTCGGGTAGTGGTGATAGTTAGTCACAACAGGAACTACCGAAGTATCAGAGTATCCATGTGCTTAAAATGGTGCTAAGCAGCAGGACGAATCAGCATGAGCAAGCAGGGTTAGTCAGTCGAGCCGTTGATACAAGCGCAATAGAAAAAACAAGATGACTCGATAGGGGTACTGAGCACCAAGGAGAGAAGCAGGATAGGAGTAGAGAGCACCAAGAAACGCGACAAGCAGGATAGATGTACAGAGCACAAGGAAGGGGCACTGCAAACAGAGAGGGGTACTAGTGGATGCCACCAAACAGACGTGTTGCTGTTAGGATCGGAGTCGAGCAGCAATCAACGTAGGGGCAAAGAGCCCCAAGAAGACACGCTGTAGACAGACACGCTGCAAGCGGCATAGGGGTGTAGAGCAGCAGGCAGATAGGCCACATTTATGAGCTCATCATGAAGAGGACTTGGATGACTGGGACCTTTGTGGGTAGTGCAACAGGAAGCCAGCCCTTCGGTCCCAGACACCTTTTAGAAGCTACGGGCCACAATACATAAACGTTGAAGGTGAGTGGCTTATTGTAAGGTGAGAAGTATCCTCTAACATGGGCCCTTGGGCATTTTAGGGCGTTTCTAGGAACGTAAAGGGTACGGTACACATGGTATTGTAGGTATACGAGGATATCAGGGTTAGAGGCCCATACTGGGGGTCCATGATTGCAACATCTGAAACAAGGCGACGAGTTTCTGGTTGGCAACATCAGCGCGAAAGAGTACTTTGTGGGCTGCAAGAGTTTTAAAGAGGACGTCATTCCATGCAGTCTTGCTTCCGATAACCACATGCAGGGTTTAGGGTTTAGGTTTAGAAGGAGTGGAGAAGAACATGGATATCATTACAATGGGTTATAGGGAACTACTATAGGGATCCATTCCTTCATTCCTGGCTAACAAGAGGTAAGATAATACTAGTAAGTATTAATGATGATACTAAGTAAAAATGATATAGTCATTGTCTATGTCTATTACATTACTTATAATGATAGGTTAGATTATATGATATTGAATTATTACAGTTCCGTCCACGCATTGTGCTTACGAAGTGCAAGTTCGGCCCGCTATTTCAACGAAGATTGTCCCCCGGTGACAGAAGCACGCTCGCAGTACAGTCAAAGCTTGGCATCAGGAGCTTGACGATGTTGCGGACGAGAAAATCCGGCGACGATCCCGGCAGATTATCACCGAGCACGATTATCGGGAGGTCTGTCTCACTGATAAATGGGATTTGGTAGGAAGAACGATGGAGCTGCGGGATCTTAGGCGTTCGTGCTGTGCAAGGAGCACCTTCAAGTTGTGAACAGGACTTCAAGGAATCGCTCTAAGCTTTTGGAGTAACATCTCTGCCGTTTTAAACGAAGATCCAGGGATGCGCCTCCTTGTTCACGAGATGCCACCCTGTGTAATCTGTTGGCGCTTCAAAAACACCCTGATCCGGACGTACTACAAATGAAACCTACGTCTGCCGTGAATTGTGAATGCTCATATCCTGCATCCTGCCACCATGAATCGATTCTATACATGTCTTTCAGGCTTCATGCCTTCAATCCTGAAGTCCCGAAGCCCTAAACCCGAAACCTTAAACTTTTATGCTCTACCCCTTCAGTCTTGAGGCGCCGCTTTTCTTGGTCCACGCCTTGCAGCTCATGCACCTGCAACCCGGATCTGTGTTAGGGTTTAGGGGTTTAGGGGTTTAGGGTTTAGGGTGGGTCTGGAGCTCCATGTTCACCTCCATAAGAAAAGTTTTGCGCTAGACAGCGCAGTGCAGAGTATAGTTTGTAGCCTCCTACTTAGCGGATGCAACCTTGCTTGATACGAGCTCCGGACTAAATTTAGGTCGGGGGGAGCTATAGGGGACTATAATATAGTATAGGGTTTTGGGGGGGCCTCTTACGGGATATGCTACAAATTCAGTCCAAGGCTCATATCGACAGATCTTCCGAGGCAACTTCAATTGTCATGAGACTGCCAACTGTGGTAAACCTTAAAACCTAGAAACCTAAACTCTAAACCCTAATCCCTTTTCAGCTTCAGGCTTCAGTTATGTATTGGGAAATAGAGCCTGGGACCGGCTTTGCAGTGTCATGGGTTGAGAGGCTTAAGGTTCCAGAAAGGTGATCTTTGAAGCTCTTTGCATTCCAGAATGGACATGGCCATGTAAATAACCTACTTTTTAAAAGCTTAGGCGGCGGTACTGACATAGTGTCCGGGTTTTGAAAGCGTTCTGGCGTCGGAAGGCGCGAGGCATGTTTACTTCTGGATCCCAGGCCCATTCAGTATCCACGCCGCTTTGCGCCGCCGGAAGTGACTCTTTGCTTTGACTTTATCAGATTGACTTTATCAGATTGAATGTGCTTGTCTGTTCAGGTGAGTAATCTTTTATTTGGGGATAGTATGACACCCGACTGACGTTCGAGAATATTATGGTACCCAATATAGAGTAAGATTATAACTTCCGTTTGGGTATAGTATTTTGATAAAGAATATCTTTTTACGTAGTTCAACCACCAAAAATAAAATTACTCAGCTGCTACAAGTTTGGAGACTGGCAAGGCGCGCTGAAGGCTGAAGCTCTTCCGTTCGGGAGGGGATTCCAGTACAAGCAAAGAATCATCTAGGTGACAGGATATGAGCTGTAGTCTAAACTCCTTAAAGGGTCTTTATATAGCGGATATGTAGGGGAGTATTATACGGTAGGGTTTATTAAGGAGTTTCGACTATAGCTCATATGGGATGTTCCCGGTAGCGTTGTCCCTCTAAAAGACAACAGAGGCCCTAAGCATTGTGACCCATGCTTCGTCATGAAAGCCTGTGGGCAACAATTGGTCGAAGGTTTCCACCAGACGGTAGAGGGAGATACCTCGTAGATCTGAGACCCAGAACGCTTTCAACGAATGCTAAGCTGTGTGAGCTATGGTCTAAACTGCTTACGGGGGTTATCTGGGGATCTTCTAGGGGACTGTTGTATGGCCTATTAACGGGGACACTTGGAGTTTAGACTGTACCTCATGTGAGCTTTGGACGCCTAGACTCGAAGCCGCTACCCTCATGGAACAGTATTGTGGATAAATCTTGTGAGATATGTATAGTCCCCCTTAAGTAGATAGAACCCTGGGTCCCTTTAAAAGGGTTTCTAGGGGTTATATAGGGATAATGGAAAAGAAAATGGAAACTACTACTGGTTCCCAGTAGTGCCAGCCCAACGCGTCACCCCAGCACCAGGTTGACAGAGGAGCCCCCATTTGAAGACCCCGAGACCCTGAACCCTGAAACCCTGAACCCTGAACCCCAAACCCTAAACCCTAAACCCCCTTGCTTCCACTCCAGCTTTCATCAAAGCCACAGGCCTCGAACCAGGAGATGTTTAATAGAAAATCTTCCATGAACCCAGACCCCCCTATCTTAAAATGAAAATAGGGTATATATTGGGGTTATACAGGGATAATGGAAAATAGAATGGAAACTACTATATTGTAGAAAATCCATCGTGAAGTGATCCCCTTATTTGCCCATGGAGGATCCCCTCACGCGCCCATGGCTTGCAACTTCTTGAAAGCCCTAAACCCTAAATCCTAAACCCTAAACTCTAACACCCTTTGGAGGAACCTCAGCAGCCCAATGAATGAAGATCTCCGGGCAGCCACATACGGCGCACTGAGAATCTCGAACATGGCTTTAAAGTTTGAAAGCTGGTTTCTACAATATAGTAGTTAGTAGTTTCCTTTCTATTTTCCATTACCCCTATAGAACCCCCATATACTATGGTAGTTTCCATTTTATTTTCCATTATCCCTGTTGTTTGAAAGCTGATTTCGGGATGACTGCCATGCAAGATTTTGTAAGCAGGCTACACGTGCTGCTTAAGCTTTGGATGGTCATACCTAAATGAAGAAGGACAATCATGCTTCCTAAAGCGTTGCTTACACCTTCACCGCGAGGTGGGGCCAAGCGCAGAGAGCAAGCCGCTCAGTTCACCCGTAGGCGTTGTGAGCATTGGCTGGGGGGGGAGCGGTCTGAGCTGTGGCCGCCTCAAGCAGGTCGCCGGCGCCGCTGCCCCCCGGACGAGGAGCCCGAGCTCCGACAAGCCAGGTGCATGCGTTTGGCCGCTGAGGGCGAGTTGTCTCGGGCTTGTGCTGCTCTCGTTGCCCCTCCCATGCTTTCAGACGATGATGGTGTCCACTCTGCACTCCGCGCATCCCCGCGCCCACCCCGCCAGGCCTAGCCTCGTGCAGCTGGGCCCGCCGTCTCCCGCATTAGTGCCGGACATCTCAGCTGCGGACGTGGTTGCTGCTGTCCACAGCTTCCGTGGCAGCGCTCCTGGGCCCACCGGCCTTCGGGGCGATCACCTTAGGGAGGCCTTGCAGTCGGCACATGGGACGAGGTCGCTGCCAACCTTGCCTTAGTTGTGCAGTTGCTTGCCGGGGCTTCCCTGCATGCCCTGCCCAAATCGGGGTGTGATGTCCGGCCCATCGCTGTTGGCGAGTGCTTGCGCCGCCTGGCCTCCAAATGCCTTTGTGCTGTCGTCAGGGATGCGTTCAACAGTGAGGTTCTCCCTGTCCCGGTGCCACTGCCGCCCAACCTGAAACAGCAGCCGCTGTCGCAGGCATTGGACCGGGCCACGCTGAAGCAGCTCGACTCTCCTGGCGAAGGCCTTGCAGCCTTCCGCGCACACCTGCAACTTCTCCAACAGCCGCGGGCTGGCGCTTCTGTACTGAGGCTTTGGGCTTGCATGTTGCCCCCGCGTTGTTCAGGCTCATGGTCCAGATGCGGCTTCGGCTGCCTGTCGCCCATGCTGACACTGCCTGCCCCTTGTGTGACGCTGTCAATGACCGCATGGGCGACCATGCTAGGAGCTGCCCTTGTAAGGGAGACCGCACAAAGCCGCACAACAGGCTCCGGTCAGTCCTGGCTGCCAAAGCGCATGCAGCTGGCCTCAACCCAGAAGTTGAGAAGGCTGGCCTCCTCCCCCTAGGCCTGATGAGGCCGGCGCCCCTGAAGATGGTCAGCACAATGCTGGCCTGCGCCACCCTGCTGATGTCTGGGTTGGGAACTGGGACTTTCATGGCCCCGCGGCCTTTGACCTGGTTGTGACCAGCGGCCTGCGGCAGGGGGCAGCAGCTGCTGCCATCCTCGAACGGGGCCGGGCCGCTGCTTACTATGAGGCACGGAAACGGGCTCATCAGCACAAAGCCGTGCAGTGCCAGGCTGCTGGCCTCCAGTTCATGCCCCTGGTCGTTGAGGGCATTGGCGGGGCTAAAGGCCGGGATGGCGTTGCTGTTGAGGGCGAGCGCCTCTTCCAAACCCTTGCAATCACGCTGCAGCGTGAAAACACACGCGCCATTCATTCTGCGCCGTGGGGGGGTAGCCACAAAGTCGGCGCCCGGTTCCTCGACCCCTGACCGCCTACTGCTCTTGGGTGAGTCAAGCTTGCCATAGGGTTCTAGGTCCCTGCCTGCCTTTTTTGGGTTTGGGGTTTGGTTTTAGGATTAATTAGTCTCCACCTGCGCTTTGCCTGCCCTCGACGCGCCCGTCGCGAAGCGATCGCGTCTTCGACACCCCTTCCTCGTGCTTGCGCGTGTACAACTGAGGTTTTTTTTACCCTTCGTAGAAGGTTTTTTTTTTGCCCTGTTTTCCTGCGCCCTACAAGGGGGATGCTAGCAGTAGAGACCTTCTCTTAATGAAAAAGGAGTTGCTCGCAATCTAAAGGCAAGTGGTCGTCATGCATTGTCTTGCTGTTGCTTTGGCGCTTTAGTTCCGATGGCCTTTGAGCAGTCAGGTACAGTCCTGTTGGTCTAGGGCCAGGAACTGCCCATACTTTTGGGTGGAGCTAAGGAGCTAGGGATAGTCCATATCAGTATAATAAAGGGAGTTAAAGAGCCCAGGAATCTCCAAAACCATAGGGGAGGGAAGGTCAAGGAATAAGTCTTCAACGGATGTGAGCATGGTTCTCCCTGCGCGGCTGGCCATGCTTTAGGCCAGAACACATGCATGCACAATTTATATGGTTTGGTCTGGGCAATGCAAAAGCCTTTCGCATGCTTGTCATGCCCTGCAGGTGCTATGCCACAAACACTACCCCCACAGCACGTATTTTAAACGTTTTGTTCCCTTGCCCCTCCCTCTAAAAGATTACGCTCCCAGGTTCCTCCCTTGTTAAAAATATTTAGGGATAATTATGCCTAATTCAGGACCCTTAAGCCCAAACCCTAAACAGGATCCTGGACTTACAAAGGATACGTCGACTGGGTGATCGGGGACCTCGTTGAGGCATTCAAGGAGCGAGATCAGTACGAGAACACGATCATTTTCGTTACATCTGACAACGGTGGTGCCATCTATGCTGGTGGCCTGGAGTGCAGATAAGAGCCGGGTTTCAATACGTGCCAGGGTTTATTTGCCCCAAACACCAGAGAGAGAGCTATGCGTATATCCATGTATATATATGTAGGGCCTATAAAGGGATTATGGGGGTAATTTAATTGGGATACCTTTCACGACGCCAGCTGAACACTTGTGGCTTTGGACGAGATTTGCGCAGCTTTGTCTTGAGCGTGCCTGAGAATATGTTCCTGCGCGTTTTTGTTGTATTCAAATGCCTTTCGCCTTGGGCAATCTAGGGCCCAGTTGCCGAAACCTTAAGCGCTGCTCAAACCCTGTACTTCAGAAGCTCCAGTCTGAGTCTTGAGTTCCCAGGCACGGCCAACAACAATTATCCACTGCGCGGCGGCAAGTTCAACAACTTTGAGGATTCTCATGTGAGTTATAGTCTAAACTCGTCAAAGGGGGGGCATATAGGGGATTATACTGGGGACTACTATAGGGTTTATTAAGGGGGATACTAGGAGTTTAGACTATAGCTCATGTGGGGGTTTGGGGTTTTGGATCACCTCTTGAGGACTCTTACATGAGACCTAATCCGGAACGAGCCCCACATAGTCCAAGAGCACAAAGGCCTAGGGTTTGGCCTTACCCTTTCTATCCTGATATTTCTTCAGCTGCCATGAGAGCTGCCGAGCTCTAATGCAGACCCTAATGCAGAAGCAACAGGATGGCCTAGTCTCCTTTAAGCCCATAGATACCCAATGCTATTGCACGAGGAGCTTATGAGCAAATGTTTTATTTGCCATAAACCCATATGGGACTTTCCCAAAATTAGGGGTACCTTATTGGGGGTCTCCATAGTAAGGATTGTAGTATTTGGGGGTCTATATTGGGGTCCCCTTATTTAGGGGAACTACCATATTCTCAACCCTGCTTGGTCTTGAGGTGTGCAGGTTCCAACTCCTGAACAGGTAGAATCTGGTAGTTTCCCAAAGTAGGAGCACCCCAATATAGACCCCAAAATGCTATCATCCTTGTTGTGAGGGACCCCTCGAAATAGTACCCCTTATTTTGGGAAACCCTTAAATCCTAAATCCCATGCATCCCTATATAACCCCTCAATCCTGCCCCTAATCCTAAACCCTATACATCCCTATATAACCCCTATATCCCCCTGTAACGCCTTATATATATCCTCCTATATCCCCTCTTGATGGGTATACATAACCCAAGCTTCCATTTCATTTTCCATTTTCTTTTCCATTTGATCTAGTGCCCGCCTAGCTCAGAGCACGCTCGAGCTGCGTCCAATTCAAAATTTCCATTCCATTCTCCATTATAGGGGGATAGTATACGCTAAACCCTAAACCCTACATAACCCCTATATCCCCCTTTAACGCCCAAAATATCCCCTATATCCACCTTTTTAGAATGGGTACCACTGATTTTGGCTGCGCTTTGGTTTGGCCAGGGTGGCCAGCGAGTTAACGCCTTCTTCACCGGCGGTTGGGTCAGTCAGGAGCTGCGGAAGGCAGGGCCTTGCGGCTAGGGTTTGTGTGCCCTTTAAGTTAGTATAAGATGGTAAAGTATAGTATACCGTAGTATAGTATAATGTCGTAAAATATAGTATCATATACTAGAAGATGGTATAATATAGTATATAGTGTAGTTTGGTTTAATATGGTGTAGTATGGTGTGATATGGTTCTCCTCCCCCCCTCATGCTAAAACCAACCCACCCTCTATGGTTGAGTGTTGCCAATATATTAGAATATACCACAGTGCAAATCTGGGAGGGGGGAACATACGGGGAAGGGACTAGTGCACTTTAAGTAGATAGAATGTGGGGTATATGGGGATCTTATTTTGATATCGGGCAAGTCCATGTTCTATCTACTTACGGGTGGTTTTCGGGATTAAGATTGAGGGACCCTCAGTTTGGAAGTTCAGAGCTATGCCAAGCCAGGCCCTTAAGTGCTGTGTGCACTGAGGTAGGTCAGAGGGTTAGTAGGGTGTTGGGTTTGGGGATCATGCCATAGGTTTTGCTGCTGCGCAGACTTTTATTGCTGGTCCACTCACCCTCCTCATGCTTGAATATGACTGGAGAGGCTTTTGAGAGCATGGAAGTAGAAAAGGCAATGCAGTACGCAGTTCCGGCACATTATTTATGTGCTGATTTAGTTGTCTAGCTCGGCAAATGTTCTCTGTACAGATGTCTTGTGGGGCAGCAGTGGATCTTGGATGCTCGGCGCAAGGCTTGCTGGGAAATATCCAAGGCAGCCAAATGTGCTTCCAGCATGGGAGGTTGGGCTTATGCGGAGATTTAAGAGGAAGTACGCATGGGCACGTCAAATCGAGCTAGCCCTTTACAGAACAAAACCTGCCCTTCCCTCCCTCGTTGCCATTCCCGCCAGTGGTGGTTGAAGCCTTTCAAGAGCCACACGGTCGTGTCCATCAACGACTTGTCCGAGCCATGGCGGAGAATTCAAGATTGGGTTATCCACTCCCAAAAAGTATGCACATCTACCACTGGGTTTGTCCGCTCGACTGGACAGGGGTCTTCTGCTTTTCCGAATTGCTGGCGCGCACACTGAAAAGGTTGGAAGACAAGCACCCCATCGCGTCGCGATTACAGGGCCCGCAAAGCGGACACATCAGGCACTACTCGCGCAAGGTCCGCGGCACGAGAAAGCCGAGCAACTTGTTGGTACTGCGTGCCTGCAGCTGGATCAGGAAGGCCAGCTGGCAGATGGACTGCTCAAGTCACGTATATCCAGCGCATTATACTTGTATTATAGTCTATTTTAGTACATTATAGTGCTTTGAAGTATATTGTAATATATCATGGTACATTATTGCTGTCAAGCACAGTATGCCGGAAGCGGCCCAGCCTGTGAAGAGGAAGCTTCAAAAAAAGCGCACCACGCTGGTAGGCAATGGCCTGGGGACACGTAGTTTCGCCTGTGCTTCACACGGGGATTTCCCCAAAATTATAGGGACATAGGGATATATAAGCCCCAATAATGGAGAATCAAATGGAAAATAAACTGGAAACTCGGGACATAGTGGTTTAAAGTTTGCCAAAGTTTGGGGTACCTCTTGATCAATTCACCGCATGTGTAAGCAATAGCCTGTTGGTACGTTGCATGCTGCGGGCTTGTATGCGTTCCAAGTGTGCAACAAGCTGTGACATCTTAAAGTAGGTGGTTGCCAATCATGGAGTTATGGTCTAGACCCTGTAACGGGGATTATATAGGATTCTATAGGGGAGGATTACAGGGTTATTGAGGGGGATGCTTGGAGTCTAGACTACAGCTCCTGTACGCTTCAGCTTTTCGGGTTTCAGATTCCATGTCATCAACTGGCATGCAATGATTCAGTGACCATGTCCCGCCTTGGCCCATCCAAGGAAACCTTGCTGGAGATGATCGCTGGCAGGCGCGGCCCAACTCATGGGTACTTCTGACCCAAGTAATAATTTGAAATCGATATATTCGTAATACTAGTATTCATAATATTACTATCAGTATGCAAGTTTAGAAATAATTTCGAATATTTCTAGCTATAGCCAGAGCGCAATCATTTTCGGCGACTTCTGTGGGTTTATAGATGGATTTTCCGTGCATCTAGACATGGAGATGTTGGACACCGGACGCAGGCAATCAGGAGCGGCGGTGCTCCGATGCTGATTTATGGGAGTCTGAGTTAGAGGCAGGTAAATGCTTTCAGATGTTCGCAGAGATAGACACAACTTTATTCAGCTGGCGCTGGTGATTTAAGTGGCTGCCAAATGCTGCTGCTACAGAGTGCCTACTCATTGGTTGTAAAGCGGGCCTTTGGATGTTGCTTGAACTAGCTTGTGAAAAGACTGCGGCACATCTTGATCGAGTGCAATATTCTTGCAGGATGGTGGTTTAGGTATGCCCCTAACATGCGACGCTCAGAAGGTGGGGAACTGCCTCGCGAGTCCAGCTTGTTGACCAGGCCATATCCTGACGGCGGCATGCGGAATGCACCTGGTGCCTTTGCCTTCATTGACTTTGTAGCTTGCTTGTTGAGGCTGGGGCATGTGGCTTAGTCATGGCTTCTAGTCTGAGGAAGAATCGCACAATAGTCAGCTTCTTCAATCGGAATGTAACAGGTAGCGACCCAGTGGCCCCCTTGAGCGCAGATTCTTGACCTTGTCCTTTTCAATGGGAGGGAGCTTATTCGCCAAACTTCTGAGGCGGAGGGAGGCCGGAAGTATGAGAATCCAAAGCTGCAGAGAGCAGCGCAATCCCTTAAGTCCTGAGGTCTCCTTGCCCAAGGTTGCAGAAAGGTTTTTCCTGCTGGTGCTATCATGGTGTCTGCTTGTGCTATAGTGGTTTAACAGGGTTCTATATAGGGGTTATAAGGGTTCTATAGGGGTTCTATTGGGGTTATATAAGGGTCCAAGAGGCTTCCAGTTGCGAGCGGTAGGGCTTGGGAAAATGCATGTGGACATGCCCATGACAACGAGCACCAACTTGCGACATCAGTTCCATCAGATCTGAAAATACCATGGCCCTTATAACAGGGACCCCCAAAATGGTATCCCTAATTTTTGGGAAACCCCTAAACCCTAAATCGTAAACCCTATACATCCCTATATAACCCCTAAATCCCCCTTTAATGGTACGTATCCCAAAATGATATCCCTAATCTGCCCATATCCTTAGACGTCAACTTTCTGGGACTGAGGGCCGCTCAGCGGCGTCCCGATGTGGAAGGCCATCCTTCGCAAGAAGCAGGTGGGGCAGTTGGGTAACATTGCGGGTTACATAGGGATAATGGAAAAGAACATGGAAACTACTAGGGTTATATGGGGACTCTATAGTGGCTATATAGGGATGATGGAAAAGAACATGGAAACTATTATAATAGGGTATATACTAGGATTTTAGGCCATCCTTCGCAAGAAGCAGGTGGGCAGTCCCATGAAGCCTTTTGGGATGTGGAAATAAGATATAATTACAATTATTCCTATTTTTGCTATTGTTGTTTTGTTATTTTTGCGAGTATCGTTATTACTACGATTAGTACTATTATTGCTATTGTGATTTTTTCTTTGTTTTTTTCTTCTACTATTGGTAGTATCTATAATTTGAATTTCTGATTTGGGATGTCTTTTGCCGTATGCGCGATGGGACGGTTTGGGTTTGGACCTTCAGGCAGGTTCGGGATGTCAAGTTGAGCGTGGTAAATGGAACAGCTTCTGCTTAGACGGGGAGTTTGTGAGCAGGAATCTCGTGGCAAGAAGTGCGTGCCTGTTTGTAGTGTGGGACTTGTCGGGAGTAGCTGCTTCCGGCAAGCAGGCGGCTGTTGGTAGCGAGTTGTGGCCCCAGCATGTTGAAAAGGGCACAAGGAAGGCTGTGGCATCAGTTTAGGTACAGCTCATGGTCTCTCAAGAGGCATGTTGCAAGGACTTGTCATCCAGGATGGCGACAAGCGTAGCTGTCCATCGGACATGGGCCCCAAGTGCATGAATGAGCATGGCAGTCTGAACTGGCTGGACTGTAGCCTGATGTCTCTTTTGAACGTCTTCTGGTTTATGGCCTTAAACCACCAAATGTGCAGCAACATCACGGGGTTGGAGGCCAACTGCTGCTGACATGGATGTTGGAGAAATGCGTTCACACAAAAGACGACGCTGCTGACATTGCAATTGGCGAAATGTGGCCTCACATAGTTCTGCGTTGAAAACTTGGTTCATGCCGCTCAGACAACACTTCAGAAGAGAACCGCCAGTTCAACCACTTCATGCATCAAAAAAGATGTACCTTGCTAACGCCACACTGCAAATCTGGCCTCCATCATTTGCGAACAGCCTGGCACCACACCTACATGATACAGCTGACGCTCAATTCTCCTCGTGGCATTGGAGCCTATCAACGGACCTCTTTGGTTTCATCATTCTAGTCTCCATATATGCCATATCATAATGTAGTAGTTTCCATTTTCTGTTCGATTGTCCCGATATAGTCCCTAAGATTGGGGTAATCTCCCTATAATCCCCTATATACAGAAGGTCTTGATCTTTTCCGCCAGGTTGAACGCAGGATCACCTACTCGGAGTTCATGGAGCTCCGTGCCCTGATACGCATCAGAGCAACGTGGTACTGTCTGTTAGGATTTAGAGTTAAGGGTTATTACAGGAAACCCTTAAAAGGTATTCCCACTTTTGGAAAACCCCATGTAGGACTTAAGTTTGAGTTGCTGTTCCGGGCTGCGATTCAAGCTTGAGAACATGCATGGCTAGAAAGTTTCGACGGTTGGCCGGTGCTCACTTGATGGTCTCCCAGAACTTTTGCATTGACCTCTGCTAAGTGTATGTAGCTAAGTGTAATAGCAACGCTGCTAGACTACACAGCACTGGTTGCCTTGGAGCTCTTGAACTTGTGTACTAGAGTAGTATATCAAAGACAGAGACAACCCCGGCGAGAGTTCTTGGTGACAAAGAGGTTGCCAAGTTCTTGACCTGGTGCTGGCCATACTGAAAGGGTTTAGGTTTAGGGTTTAGGGTTTAGGGGTGCTGGCATCTAGCAGCCCTTTAGGGCTACCGTGCCCTAGCATGTACAAGGTCATAGTTTTTCGAAATACAGACCCCACATACTATAGGCCTTATTGTTATGGTACCTCTAATTTTGGGAAACCCTAAACCTTATATATCCCTATAGAACCCCTATATCGCCCTTTTCAGGTACCCCTAATTTTGGGAAACCTCAAACCCTAAACAGTAGCTTACATTTTCTTTTCCATTATCCCTATATAACCCCTATAAACAGTTTGTAAAGGTACCTCTAATTTTGGGAACCCCCCCATTTGGGGAACATTGCCTTCATCCCCCCCGGGAGTCCACCCAGATTTCGGCTCCCAAAACACTTCATTCAAGCAGAAGCGTAGGGAAGACCTCAGGTGGACCCCCCCCAGTAATAGTGAGTATAAGGGATAGTAGTAACTTTTTTAAAGGCCCTCTTATACTCCTGTTCTATCACTACTATAGGGTGGGGGGTCCTCCGAAGAAAGACCTCAGGTGTGGGCACGTACATCACAGATTTCAAGAAGATTTGGTTCACTGACGCTTGGATTGCTTGCCAATTTGGCTTCGATTTGTGTGATTTTGTCCTGCGCTGCGTTGCGTTGCCGTCATGTTGACTGCCAACTTACAATGCAGTGCTCTCGTCATAAATCCGAGTCTGACATCAAAAGTCACATAAGCAGGCTACGACAGGGTCTGGCATCAATTGCGGCATGTGGTGGCATGTGTCAGGTGTAGCAATCCCACAGGAGAACAACACACTGATTTCAGACGGAAATTGGACGCCCAACTTCCCGAACAACTCGCAGTTCATCCCTGATTTGGGCTACCAGTATGTGCGGCCATGTAGCCTCCTGGCCTACCAGTACCGGTTGCTTTGTTGTTCTTGGCCTGCTGTCAAGTTAAGTTGCCATTTGACATGTTGTATTTTCATTTTGTGTCTTTGACCAAATGCGCGCGGCTTCAGGCGCAGGCATGTGCGCAATAACCTCCAGTGCTGCAGGTGAATAAGCCGTATTGTACGCCGTATCATTCCACTCAGGTTGGAAATTGTTGGGAGCAAGGTCTGGAATGTTTAAATCCTGTGCATGCGTTATATAACCCATTATAGTAGCTTCCATTTTCTTTTCCATTATCCTCATAAAATCCCTATATAACCTCAATATAACCCCTGCAAAATCCCGATACAATCGGTGTCCTCCCAGCAAGGATCGGCTGTAGGTGTTGGGTCTTCTTCCAAACATCAGACTCTAGCTGCCCAGTTGTGTCAAGTTTAGGTTATATAGGGATTTTGTAGGGATTTTAAAGGGGTTATATTGAGGTTATATAGGGATTTTATGAGGACAATGGAAAAGAAAATGGAAGCTACTATAGTGGCTTATATAGGGACTACTCCCTATATAGGGGATTATAGGGGTATAACCCCCAATATTAGGGATGTTTAGGGTTGAGTCAGCTTTCGAGGCACGCCTTACTGCTATTTCAACCTCTTCAACGATCCTTCCGAGCAAACGAACATTCTGCTGAACCCCGTTCAGGAAGAGGCATGGGTAAGGACGAAAGATCTGTGAGATTGCATCATCTAGCTGTCGTTGTAGTTTCGTGTTATGTTATAGTCCCCCTTAAGTAGATAGAATATGGGGTATATGGGGATCTTATTTTAATATATACCCAAAGACATATTCTATCTACTTAAGGGGGACTATACACCGTGTATTTGCCAGATGTCTTCACTCGGGCTCTGCACGATAGACGCAGCCGTGGAAGGTGCTTAGCAGGAACTTGCTCCAGAAAATGCCATATCACCAAATTTTTCAGCATCCACGGGCTAAATCGAATCAGAATCAAGCAGTACCGCATGGTTGTGATTGAAATTGAATTCGGGGGATTTCGGGGATGGCTCATTCTGAATTTGTTTTGCATGCGGATAGATTCCAAGGGAAGGCTTGTTTCCGCAGCGCCCCTGCAGATCTTGCGCAGAGAAGTGTTTGAAGACTGGAACCTCTTCGTAATCGACACCTCGCGCACCTAGGCATGGAAACTACAGGTGCTTCCATGGTTTATTGGTTAATGGTAGGCTGGTAGGTTTACAATACAGGGAAGCTGTAGCCTCTGTGCCATGCAAGACACTGAAGTCTGCACGTCAGTTCGCGACTCCGTTGCTAACTGAGTTCGTGGCAGGTGCATGTTTGTTGAACGAATGCCTCAGCTGTGGCATTGCTCTGGAGAAGTTGTTTATCATGACGTGATTGGCGCGCTACTGATATGCAAGCAAAGGTAACGGTACTGGTAACGCATGTCCTGCTTACCCAAAGGGCCATGCAAGGCTGTGCGATTTTGCTTGCATGACTTGGAGGTTCCAAAGTGTGGCTTGAAAACGCAATTGCGTAGCTATTTTCTCGTGCAGTACCAGATAGATGCAACATCACTGCTAGGCATCAAGAACTTGACCGACACTACTGGAAACTCGGACTTTGTTGATGACTGTTTGAAGGTTACCCCAAACCCCAAACCCTAAACCCACCCTAAGCCCTAAGCATTAGTTTCCATTTTATTTTCCAGTATCCCAAAATAACCCCAATATAAGCCCAATATATCCTTAAACCATAGCGTGCCAACTTCTTCAGGATTTGGCTCAGACCAGCTAAGGCTTCCCTGTTCAAGTTTCTCTATGGAGCCTTGGCTTTGCCATGATTGAATGTGGAAACTACTATAACGGGTTTAGGGTCTAGGGTTTAGGGTTTTGTAGTGCTTTATTCCCGTCTTGCGTAAACCATGTGTGCGGCCTGGATAGCTGCTTCAACACTGGATGTGGGCCCCAACTACGCACTTCTGCGTCTTATCATTGGTAGTAGCTTGCATTTTCTCTTCCACTATCACCATATAACCAGATTATATTCCCTATGATTGCTCATGTTGGTACGGATCTGCATGCTCTCTTGGTCGCTATCAGCGGAGGTGTGTGTCTGTGGCATGTAAGCTTCTGCCTGGAACCCCGCGCTGCATTGTGAGACATCGCTGCCCCAGAACCCGCAATCCTGCAAAATCTTACTCAGTTTCAGCTAGGATTCTTAGGGGGGATACTTGTCTTGTACAAGACAGCAGGACTACGATGGGTGCTTCCGGACCCTTCCTCAGCGCTGCCGCGGAGCCGGTCATTCCTCCTGTGGCTGAGTGCTGGTGCCACTCGGGCCCAAAGTCGCCGGGCCTTCGAAAGCCAAGGCTTCACCCTAGCGGCTTCAAGTAGAGTATTACCAACAACTAGTATGCCTAATAATGTTTCTGTTATGGTTATTAGTTCTATTTTTTAGGAATACTATTATGATTTTTAGCAGCTTCAAATAGAGTATTACCAATAACTAGTATTCCTAGTACTGGTTCTGTTAAGGTCACTGTTATTATTTTTACTATTATATTATGATTATTATGATTACTATTGCTACTGTTGCCACTGTTATTGGCTTTTATTACTATTATTATGGTAATTGTCATTTCTATAGCTACTGTTACCATTGCTATTGCTATCATGAACTGTTGTGTCTTTTTTTTGAGTGTTTGCCATGCTCGAAGACTGCCAAAGAACCCGAGAAGGCACGCCTGTGTTGTCGAGAAAGCAGTTGTTCCCAAACAGTTACTGTACTCGAGGCTCTTGCTCCAGACATCATCAGCTAGGCTCAAGCGAGCATCCTTGTTGGCAGTGTTGGAGAGCGGAGAGCGCAAGCCCCGGCAGCCCCTCAAGCATGACGTCAGGAGGAAGTCCCACGCAATCGTGTACCTGTTTGGAGGTTTTGAGCATCGAACGTCCAAGAACAGCACATCACTCCACATGCTCCGCACGTTCGCGCAGGCTGCTGCAGGCCTAGTTGGTGGCCATTCAGTGAGAAAATGCAAGGGCCAGCTTCATTGCTGCCCACCTGGTTTTCTAGATCCTTGACCGGGGCGACATAGTGAGCCTCTGATGCTTACCTTGCTGAGCGGGCCGCAGGCGTGACTTTTGCTTCCTTTCTGGGCAACGCTGAGTTCTCGGGTGCTCCTCTTTGAGAGGCCTCCTGCGGTCGTCTCTTGGACAGTCCTCTCGCAGGGCTCTGTCGGCCTCGGGCCTGCAAGGGTCTGTGCAGGTCAGTTGGTAGTGCCAATTTTCCGCAAGATCGGCAGGAGGCGTTCCCCCTTTGACCCCACGCCGACGCCCAAGCTCAATCCCTGCTCGCCCAGTACGTACTCGCTTTGCTCAGTCACTTCAGCGCCTCGCTCCTTCACTTAGTCACCTGCTCACTTCCCAGTCAGTCACTCCCGTCACTGTCACTCCACTCACTTGATGAATTTTTTCAGTCGAGACTTCACCCACACCCCACCGCAAATTCCTCCTCTCATTCACTCACTCTTCCTGTTCACCTAGTCAAGCATTCTCGATTTTGATTTTAAGAGCTTCCTTCAATGATGTTTGCTATTATTTCTCTAGCTGAAGACATCATGCAAGCTACAAGTAGCTTTCGCCGCCATGGCCTGCCCCTCAAGTTGTCTTGCGACGGGCCGGGCGTTCAACATTGGAGCTTTCTATTCATACCATTACGGGCTATTAGTATTGCGATTATTCCTATTCTTAGTATTCTTACTAATTATTATCGTCGTCATTACTATTATTAATTATGACGATTATTCCAATGCGTACTAGTATTGCCATTTTTACTATTCTTACTATATCCATTCCTTCCAGACATTCCGACCAAGCTTCACTTCCACCACGCACAACTTGTTGTCATATCAGCAACCACATACCGAGAAGCCGAGCAGTGCTGCGACGGCAACCACTTCCAAAACTACCACCATCTGAGCCATAAATTAAAATCTAAATGGGGGGTTATATCAGGAATTATATAGGGGGCTACTAGAGGGGATAGTAGGGGGGATACTAGGAGTTTAGACTATGGCTCATCTACCACTCTTCATTTTTCTGCGCTCAGGTACTTGGATCCAGCCTGGCCTTAAGGTAAAGGATGTCACGCATGTAGCCTGGCTCCAGAAGTCATGGGGTTCACTTAAGGGAGCCAAAGGTTGGATCAGGGTTTAGGGCTGGGGGTGGATGACGGCAGGAGTCAAGAAGGCTTTTTCATGCATTGCTGCATGATGTGGCTTCACGAGCCGATCCTTTACGACCGAGTTGAAGGCCTGGCCTCTACTAGTAATACCGTTTTTACTAGTAGTACTGCAGCAGCAGTAGTGCTGGTGGTGGTGGTGGTGGTGGCGGTGATGGTGGTGGTGGTGGTCGTGGTGGCGGTAATAGTCGTCGTCGTCGTAGTAGTAGTAGTAGTAGTAGTAGGAGGAGTAGTAGTAGTAGTAGGAGGAGTAGTAGTAGTAGTCGTAGTAGTAGTAGCAGCAGTAGTAGTAGTCATCGCCGTAGTGGTGGCAGTGGCAGTGGGGGTAGGGGTGAGGGCAGCAGCAAGATGATACAATAGCAGAGAGTAACACGAGCTATGCCTTAGTGGTAGTAGCAGTGCAGGGGTGTTGGTGGCTCTGGTAGTAGTCGTACAAGTAGGAGGTGGCGGAGGAGGAGTGGTAGAAGGGTACTTGAAGAACGTTTCTGCTCATTGAAGCATGCACGGAGCCACACATTTTGTTCTGCCCAAAAAGCACAAAAGATTAAAGACAGTTTGAGATCCTTTAGGACTATGGAGATAGTATCAGACGCCATTTAAGATCTTTCAGGACTATGCAGATTGTTTGAGATTCCAAAGTAACTCCGATTTGCGTGCTGCGTTCCACGAAAAGGGGATGAAGCCTTGCAGCAAACACAGGTGCCGCATGCGATGTAGCGGTTTGGAGGGTAAAAGATCCTGTTAGCAGTCTGTCTTTGACAAGTTGAGTGGTGCGAGAAAGGACATGAAATTGTGGGAACGTCATGGCCGCGTGATGGCAGGGAGACCCCTCTTGCATCCATGAACAGCAATTCGTGACTAAAAGTGATAATTCCTGAAAATAATCCCTGCTCAGGTCATCTTCAACCTTTACCTTGGTGCCAGGCTGGCGACTAGAAATCCCCAACTCCCACATGTTTGGGGTTCCTTAAATTGGGGGTCCTATTTTTGGTACCTGTAAAAATTAAGCGCTGTGATGCAATTTATACCCAAAACGTGTCCATGACTTTGAGAATAACCCATGTCACTGCAAAAACCAAACCTGTCAGCATCCCAGTCTCTTGCAGCAACCTTAACTAGCTCCTTGTGCTTTTTCGCGGAGTTCACACTCGCAAACAGCAGCAGTTGAGTTCTGGATTATGTGCACGAGTGGAGTTCGGGATTGTGGGCACGCGCAACGGTCTTTCCACCAGAAGTTCTAGAACAGTAAGGCATCGATTCCAAGACAAGGCACCGCATCTTCATATAGCTGATGATGGCCACGATTCCAGAAGACTCATGATCTGAAACTATTCCCTGGGCCCCTGGTGTGTATAGACGCATGTATCAGATGCTCTCTGTATAGATGTTGCCTAGTCGTACTCTACCATTGCTAGAGTCATATGAATTGCACAATTGCCGCAAAAGATAGGACAGTGGTTGACAGGTTCATTGTCCTGAAAGAGAATGTAGAGCAGCGCCCCATCAGGAGCCAGTGCTGAGATACAAAGTTGCCAAGTCAAGCAGTCGCATTCTTGCTGCTATTTGCTAGGCGTGTGGCCTTGTAAGCTGTTACAAGGAGGCATCGGATTCCCACATTCTACGAATCATCGTGTTGCTTTTTGTTACACGCCGGTGCGCAACATGCAGCAGCTTTGTGGGTTTCACCGAACATGCGCCAGATTGGGCTTACCCTAAACCTTAATCCCTAAACCCCACATTTTATCTACTTAAGGGGGACTATAACCCCAATATATACCCCAATATATACCCCATTATAATATAGTAGTTTTCATTTTCTCTTCCATTATCCACATATAACCCCCATATAACCCCCATATAACAGAAACACCGCAACTTCCGCGGGCCAGCCTTCAGGTGTGTCGATGATCGCGAAGCGCTTGCTTCTGTCGGTGCTATG